TCACAACACAGATGAAACGTAAGAGAATGAGCTTACAAACAACTTCTTGAAGATTATGATAGCGACCCTAAAGAAGAAGTGAGAATATCCTTTAAAGAAATGCCTGAAGAAAAGACAAACCAAAAATTTCAAGAAGTAATTCAATCAGTGCCAGGTTTGAAAGCTGAAATAGAAACAATTTAAAAAAAAAGTCTGAAGGAATGCTGGAATTGGAAAAGATGGATAAACAACAGGAACTACAAACACAAGCATAACCACAGAATACAAGAGATGGAAGAGGGAATCTCAGGTGTTGAAGATACACTAGGGTGATGCTGCAACGATAAATGGCACACTTATTGAAAGTATGAGTAAATATTTATTGTAGAAATTACTCACAAGAGACAAACAAGCAACCCAGATGAGCCGGGTATTTTTCCAAAGCCAAACTGGAAGCCAAAAGAGGGCGAGAGGTTCTGCTGATCAGTCTTTTATTCCTTCCTCCATACATGCCCCTAGCCATGCCCAAAAGTGGGCTTGGCTAGTGATGTAGTTCATCGCCTATGTCCGTATAAGTCTTTAGTCACGCCTAAAGTGGGTGTGGTTAGCGGTGCGGTAAACTACCCTTTTATTACCTCATCTGTATGAGCCTCTAATATGCCACATGGCTAATGGCAGAGTACCAAATTTCCCCCTACACTAGGGGAAACAGATTTATCGACCAAAGAAAATCTTAAATACAACAAATCCCTAAGACAAAATATCCAGGAAATATGGGACACAGTGAAAAGGCCAAACCTAAGAATAATAGGGATAGAAGAAGGTGAAGAACCAGAGCTCAGGTGCAGAAAACATATTCAACAAAATCATAGAAGAAAACTTTCCCAACCTAAAGAAAGACATGCCAATGAAGGTACAAGAAGCTTACAGGCCAGGCGTTGGTGGCACACGCTATTAATCCCAGCACTCGAGAGGCAGAGGCAGGCGGATCTCTGTGAGTTCGAGGCCATCCTGGCCTACAGAGCGAGTTCCAGGGCAGCTTCCAAAACAATACAGAGAAACCCTGTCTCAAAAAAAAAAAAGCCTACAGATAACCAAAAAGAGTTGACCACAAAAAGTCCCCTCAGTACACAATAATCAAAACACCAAACTTACAGAATAAAGAAAGAATATTAATATCAGGAAGGGAAAAAGGCCAAGTAATATATAAACACAAACCTATGAGAATCACACCTGACTTCTCCATGGAAACTCTGAAATCCAGAAGGTCCTGGATAGATATTCTACCAACACTAAGAGACCACGGATACCAGACCAGACTACTATACCCAGCAAAGCTTTCAATCACTATAGATGGAGAAAACAAGATATTCCACGACAAAACCAGATTTAAACAATACATACTCACTAATACAGAACTACAGAAAGTACTGGAAGGAAAACTACAACATAATGAAGTTAACCACACTCATAAAAACATAGGCAATAGATAATTCGACTTTACAACACTTCTCAGGCATTTGGAGAGGGGTCTGAGAATTGAAATAAAGAACGTAGCAGGACATTCATGCAAGGAGAATGCCATTTATTAAAAAGGAGGGAAGACTTATGTACCAGTGATTCCCAAGTCCCTCTGGTAATAAGGATGAGCAGATAACAGGAACTTGCTTCAGGTCTTTTCCGAAGTAGGGAAACAAGAATTATTTGCTAGACAAGCTCCAAGTCACAGCAGATCCCTATAGGGGAAGGGCCCAACAAGGTAAGATTGTGAACTCAAACCCAGTCTATTGGGGGAGCTGGGAAGCAACTACCTCTTGTCTCCATGTGTGTCTGATTTTCCAGCCCACCTGATTTATCCAAGAGTATAAGAACCAGATCTGGGAATGGAGCCTTGTGAGAATTCTGACCTAAGAAGTTGTTCTTGAAATGTGTTTTTGAGCTTCTCCCAGGTGTAGTGGTTTAGAGTGAGTTTACCAAAAACACTTCAAATTGAATTCATTCAGAGCAGAAATAAGAAAAATTTTGCAGAAGATCAATATAAAAACACAGCAAGATTGACTAGGAGGTAGTGGTCCACACCTTTAATACCAGCAGTTGGGAGACAGAGGCAAGTGGACCTCTGAGTTCAAAGCCAGCTTGTTGTTATACAGAGAAATCCTGTCTTGAAAAAACAAAATAAAATAAAAACAAACAAAAAAGTGTTAAACTGTCCTTAAATAAAAATGCATATAACTTTCTGTTTTTAATTATTATTGCTTTGGGTTTTGTTTTTCCTTAGATTTTTTTTAAACAGGATCTAACTCTGTAGCCCAGGTTGTTCTGGAATTTACTATGAAGCCTGGGTCTTGTCATGTACCCTTGGATAACCTGCCTCAGTCTCCTGAAGACTGGGATTGAAGGCACACCCCACTAAACTTGGTGGCTCCTTTCTCATTATGTAGCCCCCAAATGGCCTAGAATTCATAGGCTCACCTGCCTCTGCTTCCTGAGTGCTGGCATCAAAGGCATGTGTGGTAGTGCCCACAGGTGTCAGTTGCAAATGGAGTTAGGGATGACTGTTGGGTCACCATGTGGATGTTGGGAACCAGACCCAAGTACTCTGCAAATGCTTCAGGTGCTTTTAACACAGCTATTTCAACTACAGGGCTATGTAGACAGACCTTGTTTCAGAAAAGAGAGAGCGCGCGAGAGAACAAGAAGAAAAGATTAGAACTACACAGTCACACTTGACAGAGCTATTATCCTTCGCTTTATTTGGCTTGGAAAATAACTCCTTATTCTTTATTGAAGCTGGGAGGTGGTTGCCTACACCTTTAATCCAAGTGCTCTGGAGGGAGAAACTGTGGATCTCTGTGAATTTTAGCCTACTTGTGGATAAATTGATGCTCCAGGACATCCAGGGATACTCAGAGAAACCCTGTAAAAGTACAAGAAACTTAACAAACGCTGAATAGATTGGGCCAAAAAAGTTCCCTTGCCACATAATAACCAAACACCAAACATACAGAATAAAGAAAGAATATTAATAGCATCAAAGGAAAAAGACCAAGTAACAAATAAAGGCAGACCTATCAAAATTATACCTGACTTCTCTATGGAAACTCTGAAAGTCAGAAGGTCCTGGATAGATGTTCTACAAATGCTAAGGGAACATGGATGCAAGCCCAGACTGTTATACTCAGCAAAGCTTTTAATCACTATAGATGAAAAAACAAGACATTGTATAACCAAACCTGATTTAAACAATACATATCCACAAATCCATCCCTACAGAAAGTACTGAAAGGAAAACTCCAACCCAAGGGAGCTAAGGACACTCACAAAAACATAGACAATAGATAATTCCACCTTACCAAACACCAAAAGAAAAAGAGGTGGGGAAACCCACACACAATACCACCACCAAAACCAAATCAAAACAAACAAGAATTAGCAACCAATGGTCATTAGTCTCCCTCAAGGTCAATGGACTTAACCTGCCTATAAAAAGACACAGGCTAACAGAATGGACATGAAAAGAGAATCCATCCTTCTGCTGCATACAAGAAACACATCTCAACATTAAAGACAGATGTTACCTCAGAGTAAAGGGTTGGGAAAAGAATTTCCAATCAAATGGACCCAAGAAACAAGCTGGTGTAGCTATCCTAATATATAACAAATTAGACTTCAAACTAAACTCAATTAAAAGAGATGAAGAAGGGCATTTCATATTCATCACAGGAAAAATACATCAAGAGGAAGTCTCAATTCTGAATGTCAAAGTACCATAGGAAAGAACTCACATTTGTAAAAGAAACATTACTAAATTTCAAATCACACATAAAACCTCACACATTTACAGCACTAGACAGGACCACCAGACAGAAACTTAACAAAGAAACAAAGGAACTGACAGAAGTAATGACCCAACTGGGTTTAACAGATATCTATAGAACATTCCATCCAAACACAAAAGAATAAACCTTCTTCTCAGTGCTACACAGAACTTTCTCTAAAATAGACCACATGTTTGGCAATAAAACAAACCTTAACAGACACAAAAAATTGGAATAAGCCCCATATCTTATCTGTCCACCATGGCTTAAAATTAAATTTCACTAGCAACACAAATTACAGAAACCCCACAAATTCATTTAAATTGAACAGTGCTCAATTGCATCACTCCTGGGTAAAGGAAGAAATAAAGACTTCCTAGAATTCAATGAAAATGAAGGCACTACATACCCAAACCTATGGGACACTCTGAAGGCAGTTCTAAGAGGAAAGTTCATAGCACTAAGTGGCCACATGAAGGAACTGGAGAATAGTCACACTAGAGAATTAACAGAACACCTGAAAGCTCTAGAACAAAAAGAAGCAAGCTCACCCAAGAGGAGTAGATGCCAGGAAATAATAAAATTGAGAGCTGAAATCAGTAAAGTAGAAACAAAGAAAACAATACAAAGAATCAATGAAACAAAGAGTTGGTTCCTTGAGAAAATCAACATGACAGACAAACCTTTATCCAACCTAAACAAAAGACAGAGAGAGAACATGCTAATTAACAAAATCAGAAATGAAAAGCGGGATATAACAACAGACACTGGGGAAATCCAGAGAATCATCAGGTCATACTTTGAAAACCTATACTCCACAAAATTGGAAAACTTAAAAGAAATGAAGAGTTTTCTGGATAGATATCACTTACCAAAATTAAATCAAGATCAGATACATAATTTAAATAGATCTATAACCCCTAAAGAAATAGAAGCAGCCATGAACGTCTTCCAAGCAAAAAAAGTGCAGGCCCAGATGGTTTCAGTACAGAATTCTACTAGAAATTCAAAGAAGAATAATACCAATACTCTTCAAATTGGTCCACAAAATAGAAGCAGAAGGATCACTGCCAAACTCTTTTTAGGAGGCTACAATTACCTTAATATCCAAACCACACAAAGACACAACTAAGATAGAGAACTACAGACCAATCTCCCTCATGAACATTGATGTAAAAATACTTAGTAAAATGCTGGCAAATGGTGCTGACTTTGGCAGCACATACACTAAAATTGGAACGATACAGAGAAGATTGTCATGGCCTCTGTGCCAGTATGACACGCAAATCGCGAAACGTTCCATATTTAAAAAAATATACTGGCAAATCGAATCCAAGAACACATCGCAAATTTCATACACCATGATCATGTAGGCTTCATTCCAGGGATGCTGAAATGTTTCAACACACAAGAATCCATCAATGTAATCCACCATTAAACAAACTGAAAAAGAAAAACCACATGATGATCTCACTAGATGCTGAAAAAGCCTTTGACAAAATTCAACACCCCTTCATGGAAAAGGTTTTGGAGAGATCAGGGATAACAGGAACATACCTAAACATAATAAAGGCAATATACAGCCAACCGACAGCCAACATCAAACTGAATGGAGAGAAACTAAAGGGGATTCCTCTAAAATCGGGAACAAGACAAGATTGTCCACTCTCTCCATACCTCTTCAATATTGTACTTGAAGTTCTAACTAGAGCAATAAGACAATAAAATGAGATCCAGGGGATACAAATTGGAAAGGAAGAAGTAAATTTTTCACTATTTGCAGATAATATGATAGTCTATTTAAGTGACCAGAAGAATTCTATCAGGGAACTCTTATAGCTGATAAACACCTTGAAAAAAGTGGCAGGATACAAGATTAACTAAAAAAAATCAATAGTCCTAATATATATAGACAATAAATGTGCTGAGAAAGAAATCAGAGAAACATCACCCTTTACAATAGCCACAAACAACATAAAATATCTTGGGGTAACCCTAACCAAACAGGTGAAAGACGTGTATAACAAGAACTTTGAGTCTTTAAAGAAAAAAAAAAGAAGATACCAGAAAATGGAAAGATCTCCCATGCTCTTGGATAGGTAGGATCAACAAGTAAAAATAGCAATCTCACCAAAAGCAATCTACAGATTCAATGCAATCCCTATCAAAATTCCAGCACAATTCTTCACAGAGCTTGAAAGGACAGTTTTCAACTTTATATGTAAAAACCAAAGACCAAGGATAGCCCAGCGTTGGTGGTGCACGCCTTTAATCCCAGCACTCAGGAGGCAAAGGCAGGCAGTTCTCTGTAAGTTCGAGGCCAGCATGGTCTACAGAGCAAGTTCCAGGACAGCCTCCAAAACAATACAGAGAAACCCTGTCTGGAACAATAAAAAAAAAACTTCATGAGGCATCACCATCCCTGACTTCAAGCTCTATTACAGAGATATGGTAATGAAAACAGCTTGGTACTGTTACAGGTAGACCAATGGAATCAAATTGAAGATCCTGATATTAACCCACACACCTATGAACACCTGATCTTTGACAAAGAAGCTAAAACTATCCAATGGAAAAAAGAAAGCATCTTCAACAAATGGTGCTGGAGTAACTGGATGCTGGCATGTGGAAGACTGCAGATAGATCTATATCTATCATCATGCAGAAAACTTAAGTCCAAATGGATCAAAGACCTCAACATCAATCCAGTCACACTGAACCTCTTAGAAGAGAAAGTTCAAAGAACCCTTGAATGAATTGGTACAGGAGACCACTTCCTGAACATAACACCAGTAGCACAGAAACTGAGACCTGCAATTAATAAATGGGACCTCCTGAAACTGAGAAGCTTCAGAAAGGCAAAGGACACAGTCAACAAGACAAAATAGCAGCCCACAGAATGGGAAAAGATATTCACCAACCCCACATTTGACAGAGGGCCGATCTCCAAAATTTACAAAGAACTCAAGAAGCTAGTCACTATAACACGAAATAATCCAATTTGAAAGTGGGATACAGAACTAAATAGAGAATTCTCAATAGAGGAGTTCTTAAATGGCTGATAGACACTTAAGAAAGAGCTCAACACACTTATCCCTCACGGAAATGCTAATGAAAACAACTCTGAGATACCATCTCACTCCTGTCAGAATTGCTAAAATCAAAACCACCAATGACAGTTTATGCTGGAGAGGATGTGGAGAAAGGGGAACACTCCTTCACTGCTAGTGGGAGTGCCAACTTGTACAGCCACTTTGGAAATCAGTATGGAGATTCCTCAGGAACATGGGAATCAGTCTACCACAAGATGCAGCAATTTCACTCTGCCAGCCTACAATCCCACTGCCAGAGAGTCTGGGAAACTGGCAGGACCCTAAGAGAGATATGCATGGTACCCCGGAGAAGGAGAAAGGGATGGGATCTCCTGAGGGGACTGGGAGCATGGTGGGAGGGGAGGAAAGAGGGAGCTGTGGAAAAAGAGGGGGCAAAGAGGAGGGGAGAGGAGGAAATGGGGGAGCAGGGAGGTTGCGTGGGGGAAGAATAGAGGAGAGCAGGAAGAGAGGGAGTCATCATAGGTTTGAGGAGAGATCGGGTACTCATGACATTTTCAGAGATCTACAAGGATGACTCCAACTGGCAATCTAAGCAATAGTGGAGATGCTACCTTGAAAGCCCTTCCCCAATAAAGAGATTGATGACTACTTATATGCCATCTTAGAGCCTTCATGCAGTAGCTGATGGAAGCAGAGGCAGACACCCACACCTAAACTCTGAATGAACTTCTGGAACCCAGCTGCAGAGAGGGAGGACTGATGTGCAAAGGAGTCAAGACCTGGCTGATGAAACCCACAGAAACAGCTGACCTGAACAAGGGGGAGCTCATGGACCCCAGACTGGTGACTGAGAGGCCAGCATGGGACTGAACCAGACCCACTGAAAGTGGGTGTGAGTAGGCCTTGGCAGTCTAAGGAGCCTTGGCTCGTAGATCAGTATCTATCCCTGGTGTACAAATGTACTTTGGGATTCTCTCTTAGCCTGGACACATGGCTTAGAATCTGCCCGGGATGACATGACAGACTTTGAAGATCCTCCACGGAAGATCCCACCCTCCCTGTCGAGCGGAGAGGGGATGGGGTGAGGGTTTGGGGGGGTCTGCTGGAGTGCAGGGGAGGAGGGGAGGGAGAGGGAGCTGGGATTGGCATGTGAAGCAATCTTGTTTCTAATTTAAATTAAAAAAAGGAAAAATAATTTTAGATTTTAATCTAATAGAAAAGTTACAATCAAAATTTAAGTAATTAAAGCTCCACAGGGTCTTCTCATTTCATTGATTTATTTCTGCCTCTTCATGAGAAGGTTAAAATCACTGATTAGAAATAAGAGACAGTTGAATTCTAGTCAAGCCATTCATGCCAGTCCTTAGTTAAGGAACAAGTGATTATGCTATGCTCTCATGGTTGGATACTATAGCTGTTTTAAGTCAGTCACTGGGCACGCAATGCCTCTGATACTTGTGATGCTAAAGATGAGTTTTTGGTAAACAGGTGGGGTTCGGGTTTGCTGAGTTCCTTTTATTTCTTTTGATCTTTCCTTGAAGCACTTCTGTGATGGGTTAACATGTAATGGGTAGGTAGGTTTATGGGGAGGGAAAATACTTCTAAGACTGCTAACAAGCAATGGGTATTTGACTTGTTATAAGATTGTGCAGAGAGAATACAGTATTTCATCTCTATTTAGATTAACTAATTTTAATTATAGCAATCATGTTGGTTATTAAAATTAGAATATTTGAAGTGTTGAGCTTGAACTCTTTGATTGGTGGCATGCTCGCACCCCAAGAGAGAGCCCCTCCTTTCCCCAAGCTCTTATCTCCAGTCCCTACTACATACCTGTGACCACATCTGAGTGGGCGTGGCCAGTGGTGCAGGTCTGTCTCTACACTTGAGCCCACATCACTAGGTGGTCATGGGCACATACACCTGTGACCGATGCTCTGCGGAGCAGACAAAGGTGCATTCCAGAGATCACTAACCAACCAACATAGCCAAATGGTAAGTATAAGGTTCAGTTTCACCCCAGAAGATGACTCAGAAATTGGTTTAAGCCAATAGAAAGTACTTATTAGACTACCGGAGACTGCAATGGGTGTCTAGAATCCCACTGTAGCCCAAGTCTTCCTCTAAATAAGTCTGCAAGATAGGAACCATGTGCTGGGTTCCCGTATTCCAGTTAAAAAGAAGCAGAACTGCAAGTCAAAAAAAAGCAGGCTTAGTGCATTTGGAGACTTCCCCTAAGTGTGGGCACAGACGGGTTAGTGCAGAGAGCAGAAAACCCCGTGCACACAGACAAGCAGAGAATCACTACCAGAGATTTGCCTGTACTCTCTAAGTTTCATTCTAAAGCTCTCAGTTAAACATTACAATGCTGCAATGTTTGAATGAGCAGGCTTTTAGTTTATTACATATGTGGTTGCTAAAGTATGAACTAAAAAATAAACCCTTACTGATGGAGACTATAGAAGTTATTGTGCTGCCGGGCGTTGGTGGCGCACGCCTTTAATCCCAGCACTCGGGAAGCAGAGGCAGGCGGATCACTGTGAGTTCGAGACCAGCCTGGTCTACCGAGCGAGTTCCAGGACAGGCTCCAAAGCCACAGGGAAACCCTGTCTCCAAAAACCAAAAAAAAAAAAAAAAAAAAAAAAAAGAAGTTATTGTGCTGCTCGATAAAATACAAGGGAATTATTTGTTTCACAATAATTGACAGGTCCATGTTACTTGGATTCTATGCTTAATTATACACAGTTTTTCCTCTTAAGATTTTAAAAGATACACCATGGTTATTACCTAAAATCATGTCTAAAAAACCTACAGATTTAGAAAATCAAAATCTAATAAGAGACTGTATTTAATGCTCTTAAGACATCTCTCTAAAAGGACAAGGAACGTGTATTCTACATACAAATTCCACATATTCCTCAAAGATTATAGCAATCCCAGTTGATACAGATAAAATGTCCAAGCTTGCTATCACTAACGAGCTTTATTAGATGTTTCTCATCTATTAAATATTTTAGCTGGCCTGGCTATTTATTTATTTATTTATTTATTTATTTATTTATTTATGGTTTTTTGAGACAGGGTTTCTCTGTAGCTTTGGAGGCTGTCCTGGAACTCGCTTTGTAGACCAGGATGGCCTCGAACTCACAGAGATCCGCCTGCCTCTGCCTCCCGAGTGCTGGGATTAAAGGCGTGCGCCACCAACACCTGACTATTTATTTAAATTTGGATGACAGTTTAGTTGATGGACTAAGAT